TATTGCTGGGATTTGTAGTCCTCTATACAGCGCAGTGCAGAATATGACCAACTATAGAGGAGTACCACAAATCAAAGCAATACATTATACATACAGTGTATAATGTATTACTGGGATTTGTATTCCTATGTATAATATACAGCACAATGTACCATCAGCTATAGAGGAATACAAATCCCAGCAATACATTATAGAGCACCATGGGGGGTGGGAAAGTGCAGGCTTATCTGAGCAGTCTTCCAGCAACTTGCTTCTGAGATTGGGCCTGTCTATCGGCGGCTGTCATCCCCCCACACCTTCTTCTCCTTACTACATCTCCCCGCGTCCCTGTGCCGATTGTGGATGTGGGCGGGTGGTGAGTGTGAGGCGGGAAGGAGGTGCGGCGCGCAGCGTGTGGGGAGCCGTGAACAGGGCCAACTGATGGGAAGCCGATTTAATCGATTTATTGAAAAAGTTGACAACTTTTTCAATAATCGATTATAATCAATTATGTCGATTAGTTGTTGCAGCCCTAGGCTAGTTACTGACTTAATTTGATTTGTTTGCTTTTGTCTTAAGATCAAGATCTGGTGAAAGAAACAAAGCTAGAGGAAGAAGAAGCAGAGAAAAGAGACAGATGAAACCTCTATCCTCCTCTGATCAAGATGACAAAGGCAAAGCACACAACAGGGAAAGGAGATCAACCTCCAAGTGCTCAGTCTCTTCGGTCTCTTCTACATCACCAGCTAGGTCACAAAGCCCGAAGATGATTTCTCTTGGAGGTCTTGCTCTGCAAGAGTGTTTGAATCTAAAAGAAGAAAACAAAAAAAAAAAGGAGATTATGAAAGCTATAGAAACGCCAGAGGAAAAAAGAGCCAGACGTTTAGCCAAAAAAGAAGCCAAAGAAAGAAAGAAGCGGGAGAACATGGGCTGGGGAAAAGAGTACATGGGGTACACCAATACAGATAACCCATTTGGAGATAACAACTTACTGGGCACTTTTACCTGGAGCAAGGTTAGATGTATAGGTTTTATTTTCTTTGAATAAATGTTTGCTGTATTTCCTGGACCTACCTGTTTTAAAAGGTGAAGTCTTGCTAATGAATGCCACTACCAATAGGTTACTACAACGGAAGACGTATAAACTCTATTGCTATAACCCTTTCACTGCCACCAATGTAAAGGATACGGTGGAACAGAACTGCTTGCAGCTGGCTAGATCAGTATCCCTTGCGTCAGCTGTATTTTCTTTACTATAATCTCATAGTTGTTTCAGAGAACATGAACTTATAGTAGAATGGTCCACCTGACTGTTCTGATTAACCCCTTCGTGACTGACGACGTACAGTGTACGTCGCCAGCATCGGGGCTGTTTAAACAGACTCCCGATATGCATGTTGGGTATCGTTTTACTCGTTGTAACCTCCATCTTTTATATGTCATTTAAAAAATTGGTGTTTTGTTGTGTTTTGGGGCATTAAATTTGTCACTAAATGTTGGGGTTTAATAAGGAGTTGCGCTAATATTGCGCAACATAAAAATTTGCAACTACCACCATTTTATTCTATAGGGTCTTGGCATTCAGAAAATATATAATGTTGGGGGGTTTTAAGTCATTTTCAGGCCTAAAATGTGGAATATAACATGGGTGCAAAAAATGAAAAAAGGGCCTCGGTCATGAAGGGGTTAAATGAATAGCTATGATCAGTGGCTGACAAGCTGTTGACCACTGTCGCTCATTTAAAATGTAACACTCTTCTCCCCCCCCCCCCGATGCTACTGTCACCACACACTGCTCCCTAAGCTGCTAAAATCCACTGCAGCACCCCTCAGCAACTATCTGGATCAGTTTTCTCCCGAGCCCTGTCTGACCGTACCTGGATCCTACAAGAAAGGTAGTTATGCAGCCAGCCTGTAATGTGTGAAGAGCACTGTATCCTAAATGGGGCATTCACCTTCGCAATTTGTTCATTGTGTGCAGTTGCTGCTGGGAGCTATACAAGTCCAGGGCCGTGGTTTATTTGGGTGCAGCCCTGTCAGGGAAGAACCTTTTTTGCGGGTTATGCCCATTGAATGGTGGCGATTGGATGGGGTGTGTCCCCCTTTAACCACGCTGCTCCCATCTGGTCGCTGCTGCTGAGCGCCAGGTAAGACGGGGCTAGTCCCTGTTAGTGGTAGCCAAATTGGCCAGTGTCTTTTCCTGTAAGTTTTAACTTGTGTGCTGTGGAGTGGGGGAATTTGGTGCTATTTCCTTGGTCCCATAGGTGGCCTGTAGAGCTGCATAGCACATGGAACAGTCTCTCTCTATGGTACAGTATTGTGCATGCATCCACCATTTTCCTTCTCCTGGCTACACACTTCTGCTGCTGTGATTCCCGCCTATGATTTGAGTACCGTGGGTTCCCTTCTGAGGGAATTGCAGAGCATAGATGCTGGGATGTATGGGGGCAGACTCTGGGGCCACCCAGAGTTGTGTCCTCTCTGTAGACACTGTTTGTGCTGGCCTTATGCTTTCTTTCTTTCATCACTTCCTTCCTCAGCACCCTTCTCTACCCTGCTATGCAGAGAGGAGTTTACTTCATAATGGCCAAATTTATGGGAAAAATGTCCGATCTATTGGATTCTGTAGATTGCAGAGACCGAAAGAATGCCCCTTCTTTTTCCTTCTTAGATACTACCTCTGAGCTTCCTCTCTCTTCCTTTCTACTCCCTAAGAAAGAATTTGAAGAACAGGTTGCTTTCAGTTTTGCAGACTCGCCCCAAGAAGGGCACCTGTCTCCTGACATCTTTTCTAAGTTCAAGGACACATTTTCTGCCCTTGAGCATGTGGTGCATGCAGGGCCGGTGCAAGGATTTTTGCCAACTCAGGCTAAGGTGCATTTTGCCGGCGCCCCCTCCCCCCCGGCGCGCGCACACTATACACTAATGCAGAACACCAGCAGTTACAGAGGACTACAAATCCCAGCAATAATATATTAACCAGCCTGTATAATGTATTATTGCTGGGAGTTGTAGTCCTCTATAGCCGGTGGTATTCTCCATTGCGCTGTATAATGATTATACTGCGCAATGCAGATTACCACTGACCAGTTATAGAGGAACTACAAATCCCAGCAATAATATATTAACCAGCCTGTATAATGTATTATTGCTGGGAGTTGTAGTCCTCTATAGCCGGTGGTATTCTCCATTGCGCTGTATAATGATTATACTGCGCAATGCAGATTACCACTGACCAGTTATAGAGGAACTACAAATCCCAGCAATAATATATTAACCAGCCTGTATAATGTATTATTGCTGGGAGTTGTAGTCCTCTATAGCCGGTGGTATTCTCCATTGCGCTGTATAATGTATTATTGCTGGGAGTTGTAGTCCTCTATAGCCGGTGGTATTCTCCATTGCGCTGTATAATGATTATACTGCGCAATGCAGATTACCACTGACCAGTTATAGATTAACTACAAATCCCAGCAATAATACATTATACAGCGCATTTGAGAATACCAGCAGCTATAGAGGAACAACAAATCCCAGCAATAATATATTAACCAGCCTGTATAATGTATTATTGCTGGGATTTGTTGTTCCTCTATAGCTGCTGGTATTCAGCATTGTGCCCCTGTATTATACAATGCACAATACAATACACAATACAATATACAATGCACAATACACTTTACACAATGTATTATACAATGCACAATACAATACTGTATTGTATTGTGCATTGTATATTGTATTGTGTATTGTCAATACACAATACAATATACTGTATATAAAATGCACAATACAATACAAAATAATACAATACAATGCAGCATACCACGTGCACTTTGTCTTTGTAACATTACATACCGCTCCCATTTCAGCCAGCTCCCGATCCCAATTCCCGATACGAGTCCGACCGTGGGTCACCAAGAGAGGGTGAAATCGCCTCCTCGCTCGGTTCCAACTTCAAAATTTGTGCACCGGGTGCTCCCGAATCCCGAAAAATGATTTACTGATTTGTACAAAACACAGGCAGCTTAATAGACAACGGGGTGCTTGCAGGTACCCTCAGGTGATTGGACACTGGCCAGAGCTTTTGAAAAATTGCCATATAAAATGCCCCTCTTTTTTTTTTGTGCCCTTAGGTGATGGATGTAGCCTATTTTCTGAGTATAGGTGCGTTTTTTAGTTTGCTTACCCTTTTTTCTTGTGATTCTTCAGTCATGCATTCTCTTGCTGCATCCGGCCACTTTGGCAATTCACAGCTCTTGGATCTGTGTCCCATGGCAGGCTTATACCCAGACCCCACTGGATGGAAGACATGATGATGGCTTTTTATGTCCTGTTATACAGTTGCTAAAGGGGAGGGTACCAGAGGTTTTTCCTAGGGAGTCCATTCAAAATGGTTTGTATTAACATGGAGTTTCCATTTTTATGGGATTTATTTCTGCTGTTTAACCCCTTAATGACTGAAGCCTTTTTTTTTTTGCACCCATGTTCTAATCCACATTGTAGGCCTGAAAATTACTTAAAACCCCCAAACATTATATATTTTCTGAAAGCCAAGACCCTGTAGAATAGAATGGTGGCAGTTGCAATTTTTATGTTTTGTTTAGCTCTGGACTACATTTTCCAAAGTTGTAAAGCTTATCCCAAGGATGAGCCCAAATATAAAGCTTGGCAAAACTTTAATTTCTATTTTGTCTGTTCTTGCAGTAAAGCTCAATGAAACTGACCCTGTAGCATTTAAAGTACTTTACTTGGCGAAAATGCTGCATATACAAACTTGGTTACAGGAAAAGCAAAACATACATACAGGCTGCTACAAACAAACAATCACATGCACCCACTACACTATCTTTCTAGTACATGTAATGGTTTCTAAGAGAGGAAACACTAAAATAGTACTTAGCTTAGAGGCTGCATATTCTGTAAATTTCGTAAAGAACAGGACTTCTTTGGCATTTAAGCGTTCATCGGAAAATGGCTTCTCATTTTAGAGTTCCATGATGAGTCCTCTCTGGTCAGTGATGTCCTTTCATACAAGTGATCTAATCATTTAGCTCTGCTTGTCCGTAGCAGGGCTAAATGTACAAAAAAAAACTATTCGCCCGGCGCTCGAAACTGCATGTCCCAGGCGATAGGAATTCCACACCTCTGGGTACACTGTCAGCCCCGCCGCCTCAGCTCTCACACATTCGCTCCATAAGACGCACATACATTTTTGGCCGCCTTTTGGGGGGAAAGAAAGTGTCTAATGGAGCGAAAAATACGGTATATACGGAAGTGATGCCTAGAATGGGGAGGAGACCGGTGAACGGACATTTGCTGCTCTCCTCCCCAGCTTCCTGCCGACACCCGAGATACCGGTTCGGGGCCCGCAGGAGGGGCAGCAGAGCCTGGGAAACACGATGGGGGTGTCGGGTGGGCGGGAAAGACAGTTTACCGGCCCGTAGAAGCGATCTGGCGACAGCTGAGTCGCCAGAATCACTTCTATTGTAATGCCGACAGTTTGCTACCGGACATGGCCATAGCTCGCGATCAGACACGCTCATGGCTAGCACCCTTTTGCCTGATGAGGAGATGGACGACAGGGAGGTGGAGGATCGTTCCTCCTCAGATTTTACATTTTTTTACTTAGTAACTGCCTTCAGTGATTCTGTTAACTAAAATGCGTGACACCATCTCAGTGCCCATTAATGCGGTGTAAGAGTGTCTGCCATTGACCAACTTGTGCAGACTCACCCAAAGGTCACCAGTATAGGGTCTCTTAAGAAAAAGGAGACCTTAATATCTTTACTACACACTCTTTGGTGGAGGCAGTGTTGTATGCGGATTGGCTGCAGCCTAAAAAAATGACTTGGTCCACTGAAACATATTCAGGGTTATTCACTAAAGGGTGAAGAGTTTGGAGAAGGCAAGAGAAGTGAACAATCTAGGACAACATAGCGGAACTGAAAAGAGCTGAATTGGAGAATTTTTCCAAATCAACTATTTTGGCCTAGATTGTACACTTCTCCTGCCTTCTCCAGGCTCTTCACCCTTTTGTGAATAACCCTGTTTGTGTAGCAATATCCATTGGAGTAGATGTTTTCTCGAAAAGTGGTGGATGGCATAATCTCTTGTTTTAACAGGTCACTGATTGTGCTGGTGACGGACATCCTGGCCTTTTAAGCATATGGTAGACAAGTGCCTTAAAGTGACACTAAACTCACTAGTTAAAGCTTAAAAATGTGTTCAAGCACCTTAAAGACAGCAAAAAGTTTTCCCAGCACACTCGCCAGCCAGCATGCAGAAAAACATGTCTCACCGCTAAGGTTAAAAACAGAGGTTTAGATACATGTCTTCTGCAGAAAATGTGAAACCCGCGCCAAGGCACCTCCTAGATAGTGCGGTCCTAACTCTAAACTATGAGAGTCTCCATCTTGGAGCACATATGGCAAAAGATCAAATTGGGTGCAGGTTTTTTCAGGAGGAAGCCCAACCTCCCTTTAAAGGCACAGGGACGCACAAGGGATCCCGCACATCACAAGGCAGCTGAGACCCCCCCACCCCCATGCATCACTGCACCAAATCAGTCAAGCAAAACAAATGGCAAAGCACTCATCAAATCATTTGAAAGCTGTGTTGGTGTGTGTTGTGATAAAATGATACAGGTGTATATTTAATCGTGGCAAAGCGTCACAACGCTTTGCTATGTGCTGCCACACAGTTAAAATGTTATTTTAAATAGAAAAAAAATAAGCACTGGCCCAGCTAGTAAAATGTTCCTTTTGCCCCTCCAAGCTGCCACAAAATTGTAACCTGGAACCCCGTTCAGACTTAAGGCCTTAATTCCATAGTTGACATAGGGTCTCAGCATTACAGGCTGGAGTTTGTCCTACGCTTCTCCTCACTTTATGCCTTCTAATCAGCCCACTTCCCACCAGCAGAAAGATTCTCTCCAGGTGGCATTCGAGCAACTGCTCACCTTGGAGGTTTCAGGGGTTTTATTCCAACTTTTTCCTACCTTCGGTGGACATCAAGGATGCCTACCTGCATGTCCTTCCTGCTCTTTGCCTTGGGAGATAATCCTTTCTAATTTGTGGTGCTCCCCTTTTGGCCTGTACATGATCCCACAAGTCTTCACAAAGGTTCTGGCCCCTGTCCCTGCACTATTCTGCTCTCAGGGTGTCCACATTGTGGGATATTTGGACAACCTACTGCTAAAGGCCTAGTCTGCACAGACACGGTCTGCTGGTGTCCAGAGAACGGTTTGGACACATCACTTTTGGTCTCTCTGTCTGGAGTTCCTGGGCTTTCTAGTCTAGACCAGGCTTGGCTGTTTCTCCCCCAAATAAGGTTTTCTCCCTTAATTTCTGGGTGTGGACCCTCAAAGCCAAGAGTCTGCTTCCAGTGAGATTCTACACCATCATTAGGCGGACTGACGGGGTAATCTGTCATCAGAACCGTGAGCGTCGAACAGTGTGCTGCCTGCCGGGGGCTCGTGTTCGACACATTGCGGAACGAATTGACAGATTACTAGATGGGGTTGGGCACGACCCAGCTGTCATGGTACACATCGGCACCAATGACAAAATAGGAGGAAATTGGAGTGTCCTAAAAAAGGAGTTCAGAGACCTAGGTGCTAGGCTGAAGGAAAGGTCCTCCACGGTAGTTTTCTCAGAGATACTGCCGGTGCCACGAGCCACTCCGGACAGACAGCGCGAGTTGAGGGAGCTTAACAAGTTGCTCGGGAGCTGGTGTTAGATAGAAGGCTTTGGTTTCCTGGAGAACTGGGCTGACTTCGCAGTCGGCTATCGGCTTTTCAGCCGAGACGGGCTGCATCTTAATGGGGAAGGTGCAGCATTCCTGGGGGGAAAAATTGTAGAAAGACTGGAGGAGCTTTTAAACTAGAAAGTGGGGGGAGGGCATAAAAATAAAATTACTTAAATTTAAATGTAGATAAATTTAAACATAGCTAAAAATAATACAGAAAGAAGTAACAAAGGAGTTAATAATAGTGGGCTCACTCCAGTCAATACAATTGGGCCAATGGAACCTCGGTTTTGGCGAAGGCGGGCCGATTTCTGAACATGTTGCAAGACAATTTCATGGACCAGATGGAGATTCCGACCAGAAAAAATGCCATCCTAGATCTAATTGTCACTAATAATGCAGAATAATCGAGGATATTGTAATTGGGGAGTCGCTGGGTAATAGTGATCACAATGTGATTTACTTTTAATATTGAATACAGAAAAGGGAAGTGGGCTGGACGGACTAGAACCCTAAATTTCAGAAGGGCCAACTTTGATAAGCTGCGCAACCTAGTGGGGGAAATAAAATGGGAAAACTTATTTCACAACCTAAACACAGACCACATGTGGGATTGTTTTAAAAACACACTAGATACTGCTATTTCAAAGTGTATACCTTTTTTAGGGAGCAAAAGCAAAAGATCAAAGACTAAACCTATATGGCTCAATAAAACTGTAAAACAACACGTCAAGGACAAGAGAGAGGCATTTATACAATACAAGATGGAGGGGACGGCATTTGCGTTCCTTAACTACAAATAATGTAACAAAAAATGCAAACTAGTAACCCGGGCAGCTAAAATTTGAGTGCGGAAAGCATATCGCCATAGATAGTAAAAAGAACCCCAAAAAATTCTACCAAAATATTAACAGTAAAAAGGTTAGAAAGGTGCAGATAGGCCCAATAAAGGACGAAAGCGGGAAGCTAGTCACAAATGAGAAGGAGAGGGCCGAGGCGCTGAACACTTTTTTTCTCCTCAGTATACACTCGGGAGGGAAACGGGTTTGACATGCATGATAAAACTCCCAGTTTAACTCAAAATATACCCCAGTGGTTGACGGAAACCGGGATACAACAAAGACTTAAAATGCTCAATGCAAATAAAGCTATGGGTCCGGATAACCTGCACCCCAAGGTACTTAAGGAACTAAGCCAGGTTATAAAAATGGAGAGAAGCCGGTAGATGTGGTATATCTGGATTTCCTAAAGGCTTTTGATACGGTACCACACAAACGCTTGCTACACAAGCTGAGGGCTATGGGCATAGATGAGGTGGTGTGTACGTGGATAGAGAACTGGCTACGGGAACGGGTCCAGAGATAATTAGGGGTATGGAGGACCAGAGCTATGAGACAAGGCTACTAAATTTAAACATGTTCACATTGGAGGTGAGGAGATTAAGGGGTGATATGATTTCCATGTACAAGATGTTCAATGGTGGCAGCAACATTAGCGACAAACTATTTAAATTTAACTCCATTACAAAAACTAGAGGCCACCACCTAAAATTGGTGGAAAAAAAATTCCAGCACAAGGGGCGAGGGGGGTTCTTCACAGTTGAGTTGTTAGGGTCTGGAACTCACTGCCACAGGCAGTGATTTCAGCTAAGAGTGTGGAATTGTTCAAGAAACTTTTGGACGATTTCCTGAGGGGCCGTAATATAGAGGGGTACTAGTACTCCTAAGAATGAGATCCTATAGGTTGGACTTGATGGACTAATGTCTTTATTCAACCTCAAATACTATGTAACACCAGGGTAACACCCTGCAAACCTCTGTTGATATTTGTTTGGTGCGTGTAGAGGCAAAACAAATGTTCTTACTATATTTTCTTTTCAGGCTGAATGTAATACTGCATTATGGTCATTAGATGGAGCTGAGGAGCAAAGGAAATAAATACTTGTACCACTAGATATACCTCTAAATAGAGCTGAGGAGCATAGGAAAAAGTAGTTATTTTCTATGCTCCGCTCCATCTAGTGGCTTTACATTATATTACATCACATTGAACCTGAGAAACAAATATACTAAGAATATTAGCTTTTTGGCTCTATTCGCATTGAAAGAATATTCAGTTTCGCAGGGCAAATGTCTCTGCAAATTGTTTGTGAATACACCCTTTTGTGTCTCCCTCAAAACCATTGTGCCAGGGGTGGAGGTGTCTCGTGTTTTATGTTGAGCTGCCTGACCAGTTCACTGTCTTTGGTACGTGTGTAGCACTTTGCTGGATGCAGGACCCCTGGACTCTAGATTTGGTCTCCTTGGTCCTTCTACTCTGGCTCAAGTGTTGGTCAGCTGACAAGCCCTGGTGCAATGAAAGATGTTTTCACCCCGGAACATACTCTGTGCGATGAATACTGATCTTTTTTCAATCAGACCTGGATCATCATTTGGCTCTCCGTACCATCAGGTGGTAAATCTTGGCCCTAGTGATCTAATTACAAAGAACAATATCCTTCCATTATTTGAACCTGTGTGTCCGTGACCCGTTCTTGCCCTATGTACTGCATTGTGACTAACTGAGCTGCCTGTAGCAAATGGATGTGTGACCACCAGCAGCCCCTAGGCTGTGCTGTTGTTTTTGTGGCTATTGTCCTATTCATGAATGTGGCACTCTAACCCAGCATTCAAGATTGAAAGTTCTCCACTGTGTGTCCTCCAATGAACGCAGAAGAAAGAATTTTCGGTTACTACAAAGTCATTTTTTTTTTTTTAACCTGTGCTGATTGTGTTATAAGATTATTCTCTATATTATCAATTGTATTTGTTTACCTTCAAATTAGAAAAGTCAGTTAACTAATTGAGGGGCTATATGTATACTTTTAAAGACATATATGAACGTCAACCAGTTGTATTAAACTTTAACATATTTTACAGGCGCTGGAAAAAAAAGGAATTGGTCATCTCACAGAGAAAGATTTGAAAGAGAGGAACAAGCGGATCCAAGAAGACAATCGCTTAGAATTGCAGAAAGTGAGTGACAATCCAAATCCATGAGAAAATGGAGTCTGTAGGGACAGGAATGCTTGGCTTTTTTTTCTGTGTGGATAAGGTTAAAGTGTTAGCTGTTTTAACAAATTTAGAATAGTAATTTTCTGTTAAACCTTTCTATCTTATTGTTATGAGAACCAGTATCAAATCCTTATACAAATTCTAGATAATGTGTATTACATCTATAGCATTTCCATCATCGATTTTTTTTTTTTTTTAAATTTGTCTGTGGATAAAGAAAAGAATAATGCTTGCTGTATAGTTTATTTATGTTGATCAAAACCACATGGTTATAGTGCCATATGTAAACGTATAAATCTAGGTGAATAGTGAAGGGCTTCATCGGTGGCCTAACCCCACAACTGCCATTTAAGTGTGTTCTAGGCCTTGCCATGCCCCTGGTCTCCCCGCCCTTTGACTTTCGCTACAGTAGGTAGTGTAGCTATGACCACCATTTTACTCAAGGGCATAAAGGCATTTCTGAACATGCATGAAGGACATGCTTCTGGTTCCTAGGCAGTCCTAGAGCTAAAGCCTTCATCATACATGACCTGCATTTCTTACAGCAAGGGTTAAAACCTAAGATCTCCTCTGCCACCCTACCCTTCTGCACCAGACCCAGTGGGCATATAGACATTGAAGTAAGCCAGACCACAGCCTTCTTCCCTGTACCTGGCCTTTACTCAAAGATTACTTTTTTATTCTTTGACATAACAGCATGTCTAAGAACAAAAAGGTCATTCAATGGCGGTCGACCTAACAGAGATTGTTTTCTGGCGTGGAGTGTTACTTTTTCTGGTGCTTGGCTATTGACTCAGTCATGCACCTCGGCTCTCTTTTCTGATTTTCTCGTGGTTTCTGGCACTCCTTCCTTTCTTACCCTTGAATCCTTTAACTCTGCTATAGAGATGTCTGTCTCGCACATGGTTCAGGCTTTATCTCTCTCTAAATGTAAGGCACTCAACCAGCTGCCCCGCCTTCCTCCTATTTCCTCAGAAATCTCTAATGATAAATCTCTTATAATTTCTGGTCACCCAAAAGCAAAGGTAGTGAGAACTTAGAGTCCTTCATGAGCATAGCTCTGTCAAGTGACACAGGCAGAAAAAATACCTCCAATGAGGTGCTAAATATGCAGCGCTAAAGGGTGATATTTAAGTGAAAAATCCTTAAAATCAAGTGTAATCAATATCTCAAAGAAATTTAAAATATTATAGTGAAATGATCAAATAAACAAATATATATAATAAAACAGTATGTGATAGGCTCTATGTGGCCTCAGTGTAAACAAAAAAATCACTCTTTTGTCACCTTGATACTAACAATTTCGAAGGTGCGTGAATAATGTTCAATAACTTCAAATAGCTGTTTGCCAGCTAGAACAATCAAATTTAAACCAGTCCCAGATGGTAGTCCATCTAACATAAAACATAAATCCAAGTGCAATATTGGTGATTTAATTCAAAGTGAATTCGATGAAGAAACTCCAAAGGAATATTTCAAAATTTTGAAAAAACTCTTCCCACACCACTGTGTAAGTGTCAACGAATGTCCCCTCTGGGGTGCGCACTCACCCCACTGCTGTGGTAGCAAAGCAGTGCAAATAGATCAGAGGGTCCACATCCCTGGTATCTCTCCCGGCAATGTCCCGTCTGTTGAGAGTTTATAAAATCATAAAAGAGAACCTCCTCATGGCATAGTAGGTATACACGTTTATTATAAAAAACATAGAGAACTTACAGTTAAAATAATAAAGACCGGCCGGGCAACTGATATTAAAACACTTGTGTCAACTATTTTATAAACCTATGGTAAACATCATATTAAGAGGTAGACTAAAAAAGGGGTATAGTGCCAGCTATTTACTGGTTAAGAAGCAATTCTTAGTAAAATACCTCCAAATCTGCTGAAAAATCCTGCTGAGGGGGTCATTTCTGCAAGATTCGAGTCTTTTTGGTTGGGAAGGGGGGGTCTTGGACTTCCTATGGACCAAGGACTCGGCCCAACTTCTGAACAATATGTTTAGGTTGCAGGCTATCAGATGGTCTTTGCTTCTCTTAATGGATCTCCTTTAACCACCTCATGTCTGGCCGTTCAGCCGGTCAGAAGGCCATCAAGCTATCCTGAGGCAGAGTTGGATGGGCATATTGAATCCAAGATCCTAAATTCTCATAAAATGTTTGTGTCCAAGAGGATGCTGGATAATTTCTCATTGATAAAAAAGTCTATCTTGCGTCGCACCTCTGCAAATGATACAAACTGCTTTTTCCAGGCCTGAACTATGGCTTGTTTAGCAGCCAACAGAATAAAAACAGCTAGTTTGTGTTGTGACTTCGTAAGAATTATTGGTTTGAGATGCAGGAGTGCTAACCAGGGATCCTTGGGTACTTGTTTCTGGAAAAGGTTCCGAAGCAGACGGAATGTGTGTTCAAAGGTGGTTGGTGTTCTGTTGGCAAGATGAGAAGAGCAAATTCCGCTGCTGCAGATTATTTCTCCCTCCAAAATATTATAGGGGTAAGAGAACTTGTGAGTTTTCTAGGGCTGCAACAACTAATCGACATAATCGATTATAATCGATTATTGAAAAAGTTGTCAACTTTTTCAATAATCGATTAATCGGCTTCATTCCACCACGTAAACGCCCCAGGTGAGTCCAGGCTTGGAGGGAATAATGGGTTGCCCAGAATGGGAAGCAAAGGTAAATAGGGAGAGGCCAATTTGCTATAAATGTATTGTGTTATCCCAGACTTTAAGGGTCAAACGCATTATGGGGCTTATGGTATTGGGACATGTAGATGGTCGAAGCCAGGGTAGTGCCGCGACAGCGATGGGGAGGCAAAGGGCCCCCTCCGTTTCAGTCCACAGTGGAGCCTGTGATGCTAAAAACAGGCTTGTTAACGGTGCAATCTGTGCCGCCTGGAAATATTTAATGAGGTTCGGAAGGCCCAGACCCCCTTGCCTCCTATGGGTACAGATCGTGGATTTAGGGATCCGAGGCCGCTTTTGGTTCCATACAAAATCCATTATTTGGTTCTGAAGGGCACGCAAAGCATGGCCTGATATTGCGACGGGCAGTGTGCGAAACTGATACAGTAGTCTAGGGAGGAGGGTCATCTTGACAGAGTTGACTTTCCCCATCCAGGAGAGATGATGGTAGGACCAATTGGAAAGTAATTCCCTAGAATGTTTAAGTAAGGGGATATAATTGGCTTTATATAGTGAGTCAGAAGTTCTGGTCAGGTTTGTACCCAGATACTCTAATTGGGTGTCCCACCAGTTAAAAGTGAAGTTGTAACGGAGAGAGTCTATAGTTGGCAGCAAATTAATGTTAAAGGCCAAGGATTTATCTTAATTAACGGTGAGGCAGGAGATGTGGGCAAACAAATTTAAGGTGGCTAACAGGTTAGGGTAGGGTGATGTGGGTTTTTGGAGATGGTGAGAAGCAAGTCATCTGCAAATAGGTTTCAGTTTATATTCAGTTCCTCCAACTGAGATGCCGTGGATGTTGGGGTTTTGACACAGCGATTGCGCAAGGGGCTCAATAGCAAGGACAAAAAGGATTGGTGAAAGGGGACAGCCCTGTCTGGTTCCTTGCAAAATTGGGAATGGGGGAGATGAGTGGTGTAGGTATCTTATGCAGGCTGAGGGGTCGTTATATAGGGCTCGGAGCCACTTCAGAAAGGCTTCCGGGAAGCCCCACTTGCCCAATACATAGTATGGGTAATCCCAGGAGAGTGAGTCAAAGGCTTTTGTGTATGTCTAGTGACAGTAACAATCCCTTGGTGTCAGAGTCGTGCATGTGGTGAATCAAGTGTATAATCTTTCTTGTAGCGTCAGCGGCCTGGTGATGTGGAGTGAAGCCTACAGGTGAAACTCAAATAATTTAGAATATCGTGCAAAAGTAATTGCAGTAAGTGCTGCAAAAGGGGCCCAAACCAAGTACTGAGTACATATGCATGCTTGTACTTTTCAGAGGTCCGATATTGTTCTATGTACAATCCTTGTTTTATTGATTGCATGTAATATTCTAATTTTTTGGGGTTCTTGGGGTTTTCATGAGCTGTAAGCCATAATCATCACAATTATGACAAATCACGGCTTGAATTATCTTGCTTTGCATGTAATGAGTCTATCTTATATATTAGTTTCACCTTTTAAGTTGCATTAGTGAAATAAATGAACTTTGCACGATATTCTAATTATTCGAGTTTCACCTGTACTTGGTCTCTATGGATCATTTTTTCCTGGAAGGTGTTGATTCTGGCAGCCAAGATTTTCAAGAGTAGTTTAACTACCTCCCGTTCGGCGGACGGGAGGTAGTCTCCTGGATGCGGGTGGGCGTCTTTAGACGTCCTTCGTGCCCGCGCGTGTGCCCCCGCCAGGATTTTAAACGTCCAGCGATGGCCGTTTACATACAAGTGGTCCGGTGTCTGTACAGACGCCCGATCGCTTGTATGATGCAAGTCAGGGTGCCCCCCCCCCTCCCCCTTACCTCTTCTCGCCACTGTCGTCCCACGATCCCGGGCGTCCATCCATCCCGGGCGATGTGCACTGAGAACAGAGGGAGATAAGTACACGATCTCCCTCCGCTCTCCTCCCCGGTCTCTCAATGCAGGAAGTGATTGTATATTACATCACTTCCACATTCCTCTGTCACTCTCCGGTACAGTAACCGGAGAGAAGCTGATGAAGCAGATCTGTGCTTCATCAGCTTCTCTGGGGGTCCCTAGGTGACAGGGGTCTTGGAGACCCCTGATGTCTCCATAAAGGGGACCTGTCACTGTAATTTGTTATCACATAGGGGACTTCTTAGCCCCCTATGTAATAAAAATAAAGTAAGTGTAAAAAAATTGCTCACAAAATAAGCTAAATTTACACACACACACTAAAAAAAAACACAATTTTTTTTTAAAGTCCCCCACCCCCACATAGATGCGCAAAAATGCGTTAGGCGCGCCTTCACGCAAAAACGATGATTGCTCCAA